CCAGCTGAAAACAGAGGCATCTGTCATCCAAACAACAGAGTTGAAGACAGCTAACTACCTTCAGCTCTTGTTCAACACTGGCCTTGGAGACAGGAGAGCTTAGCTACAGCTCCCACAAGGAGCAAGTTGGATCAGTGCATGCTCTGACCTTTGGATGTGTCAAAGAAAGATGCATGCTCAGCTGTGTTGGATATGGTTTGACTGCTGCAAGGAACATCACAGGTTCCAAGTTTTATTAATGAGGAAAACAATATGTACTGTCAACGTTTGCTACATGAAGTTAGCATGAAAACAAAGCCCACTCCAGAGAACAAATGAAATTTACTGGATTAGTTTCTTGTTCCAGCTCTCCTGATCAATAGCACTGAACTCAACACCACATTGATTAGTTGGTTCAAGACAAACACTGATCAGATTGCCTTGGCAAGTATACATAGCACTACAAAAGCACAATCATCCTTGTCTATTCAGAGTAGCAAGGATTCACCATACTTTCATTTCCCTTCCTTCTATCTTTCCCAGCCTAGACAGCTTGTCTGCACTATTTAAAAGCCCTACCTTAAAAGCTTTTCCTAAGACACACTCAAAGCCCTTATTCTAAAGAAATAGAACCAAATGGTGCAAATGCTGCAGAGCCTCAGAAGGCCCCCATGTTTCAGTGCAAGCTGACCCAGGTCACTGTTCTCTCCTCAGCTTTCAGCAGGGCTTTTTCTTTATCTTATCCACTACCTCAGATAGGCACCGGAGCACAACAGTCAGCTCTGGGTGAGTAACTGCCTTGGAGAACCACTGCAAAAAACAGTCTCACGTCAAAGAAAGAATGGGTGAGGAACCACAAGATGGGGAATTCTGGTAAGAGTCAGGCTAAAAACCACAGTACTTGATCCTTACTATGTGTTTGTCTTCTTTGCTTCTGATCATCTCAAAAGATATCAGACAGAAAGGATGTTACATCATTTCACTCTGTGCTTTTACACGAAACAAACTTTTAGCAACTTGGTTTAGATGTTTGTCTCCTTTAGATTTTTTTCCTTTTTCTTTCTAAATGATGTACTTTTGCAAAGCCACAAATTCTGCAAGATCTTCAGAAAATTCTATTTTCAGTGATCTCAAGGTCTCTACCTCCTTGGTCTATCTTTTGTTTGAACTGAATTATTGTTACCGTAAGAAAAATATGCTCTCATAACTCATTCTTTACCCAATTACTCAGCTTTGTTTTCCTTCCTTCTGCTGTATTACAAAGCAATCATCATCAAAACCTAATAGAACAATGTATGACCTACAGATAAATGCTGGTTGGTGGTTTTTATTTTTTAAATCTGATCAACAGCATTACAAAACTCTTTCTTGTTCTGTCAGGAGATGTAACTTGTCTGACAGACATCACTGCTGTATTGGTCTACCAGAACTGCCACTTCACAGAGCAGCAGGATGTCACCTCAGAGCTGTGTGTCTTCCCTTAATACCACACTGACCACATCCTCCTAACACTGCCATGTGTCTAAAATGTTCACAGACAACAGCTAACACCACTATCTGTACAACACACAACATTTACCTTTAGCCTGAATTTCAGTTGTTATCCTTTTGGAGAAAATATTACACTTGCAAACTTCATCTTTCAGTCACACACTTTGTCTTGTTTTCTTTCAGAAAACGATGAAGTGTTGCTTACACATCAGGTTTTTTGGTAGGCGTGTTAAAGGACTAAAAAATATCATTTTAGTTACATATTACAGCAGATGAAAAGAATGCTGGTTTCTTGTTTAAATGCAAGCTATGACTCATCCTAAGCAGAGATAAACTGAAACACATACCCATTAAATAAAATTTTTCAGTGTGAGGATTAATGACAGATAATAAGTATAAATTAACTTTAATCTTTTACAACAAACGAAGTCCCTTATATAAATGTCACTGCAATCTTTCCAAATTAAAAAAACCCAAATCAAAGCCAGAAGAGGAGTCATTTAAATATTACAGCAAATGTTTGGTACCAAATCAAACAGCTCCTTAGACAAACCAATGGAGTGTTCTGGAGTGAAATATTTTCAAGCAGTAGACCTTAAAAATTGCTTTAATATTTTAAAATACATTTTTAGGGGGTTTTCTACATTAAAGAGGTACACATTAAAACACCACCAGCTCTCCAATACTGAGTCCAAGTTAAATCACATATTCAAAAAGGAGAAGAGCATTTTGTTTTACTAATATTCTCTTGCTACTGCTTGAAACAAACTCTGTGTAACTGTTGAATGGGTTAAACCAAAATTTAACTGAACATAAGAAGACTGCTGTTCACAGACAAGAAGAGAAAAAAACAGAGTCAGAGACCTAATAGTGGACAATTTTGAAAATTACAGTGTGTGTCAATAATAGAGATAACAGTGAGATTCAGAAGGAATAATCTCAAATAATAGGGAAAATGAGCACCTGTCAGTCACAAAGCCATTAGTATCAGGGCTTTTATATTTGCAACAGTTAAGTCTGGAGACACTGACAAACTTAACAACACAGCAAATAAAACATGGAGCTGGGGAACACAGGAAGCAATCCCCCTCACTCAGAAAACACTGCTGTGGAGTTTGAAAATAAATGCTTCCAGTATGCAACTCACTGCCCAAATCATTGGTAATGAACACTGCAAACATAGCAAAGGCACCACAGCATCTAGCTGGGTTTGCAGATGAGATCAATCCATAGCATCTACATCAAGGGACAGACAATCCCCCACCAGGAACACTGGACTCCTGACCAGAGTTCCCAGATACAGGAGTTTGCCTGTACAGAGCACCCAGTGCGATCAAACGTGTGCCCTTCCCAGAAGCATGAAAACCAAAGGCTTGTAAAACCATGTCTGAGACAGACCTGGAATACAGTGCCCTGGAATGGGACGCCCTGGAGGAAAAAACCTTGCTGAGAAGGCTGATGGTTAGGAATCTTCAGCCTGGAGCAGGTGGGGACTAAGGAGAATAACAGACAAAAGGAGAGGAAGAGAGAAATATTACACCAACTGAAAATGGAAGGATAAATTCTGCAGCAATCAAACATCTTGTCAATATTCAGGAAAAGGAGGCATAAGGGGAAGCTGAAGTAATAACATTCCTCTCACGAGTAACACTTCTTGACATGCTAGTCAATTGTCAATCTTTATGGTATCCGCACCTCAGATAATATAACTGTCCCCAGTTAAAGACAGGGAATCAAGGCAGAAACTTCCTCAACTCAGACAACTGGTACCCAGCACATCCCAATCCCATCAGTCCACAGAGATTCTTAGCTGAACAGTAAGTATATAACAGTGGCTGCTAAGATCCCACCCACGCAGAATTTGAAGTTCTGCTGCTTGCCCTCAGGCTAGAATGTGATGATCATATATCCATGCAAACTTGGCCAGTGTGATAGGACCAGGCTGGTAGAGGGAAAGATGGAGACAGCTCTGCTCTAAAGCTGTACTGAGTAAAAGCAGCATTTGCAGCAACAATTACATATGTAAATAAGCACATTGAAGATTAGTGACAGTCTACTGTTGTCATGGAGAAAAAAAGCACCTTCAGTTCTGGGTCAGACCCAAGGACTGCAGTTTCTTTCCCTCACTGGTAAATAGAACTGGAGAGAGCCCTGGAAAACCCAGGAGCCAACACCCCACAACACAGCTCAACCTGGGACTGGAGAGACTGAAGCTCAGGGAGCAACATAACCCAAATAAAAAACCCTCCCTGCATCAACCCAGAGAGATAAGATCATGGCAACTCTGCAGATACTAAAAAATATCAGGAGGTAGAACCACAGGCTGGAAGAAAACACCCAGACCATGCAAAGGCCAAGGTGCTTCCCAGCATTGCTGCTGCTAGGGGGAGGCAGATGTGGGGGAAACTGAGGGCTTTTTTTTTTTTTTTCTTACTAAGAAGACTTCCCCAATGGACTTCTGCATACACTTAACTAGACAGTGAAACATGACCAACACGAGGTACTCAGCTCCAGCTCCCTTGAATCCACATGGGAAGACCTTGTCTGAATGAAAATACACACATGGCTCAAAGCCTCTGTGTGTCTTTGGCCATCCTCACAGTCCTTCCATCCCTTGTTAAATGATGGCTGCTGAGAGAGAAGAGGAGGCAATCAACCTATTTAGACTCAGCTTTCCTTCCCACCCTGGGGGTTTCTTCATAGGAGCAGCTGGCCAAAGCACTGCCTTTGTTACAGCAGCCACAAAAAACACAGATACCCACCCTCAGCCCCCCTAAAATCCCACAGAAGAGCCAAGATAAGTTTATAATGGAAACCCTGACACAACCTTAACTATAGCATCCTGAATGGAAGGTGATAATCTGATCTGTGTGTGAACTAACTCCCCTTGTCTCAATGGTATTTATCTTACTTTAACTCCTGTTACAAAAGGGTTGAGTCATAGAAGAGCCAGCCAAGTAACAAAACTGCAGGGCTTGCTAAAACATCAGATTCAAGGATAAACAGGCGCAATCCTAGAACAGGTTAGAAAAGTCTCTGCAGGAGTGCAGGTAGCCAGAGCTCCAAGCCTCTGGACAATGGTATTTTTCTGTGCTACAGAGACTGACACAGCCCAGTGCAGGGGTGGGGGGGAGAGGGTGCAGAGCACAGGGCTCTGCCCTTCGATTCATGGTAACACATAGTACCCAACACCCAAGAAACCCGATCCCGTAGCAACCTCATGTATGGAAAGTGCCCCAATCAGATTTCACTGTGTCAGGAGAAGAACAGTATTTACTCTGCATACAGATTAGTCACAAAACTGGGTCACTTCTTGCCTTTTCAGAGAGAGAGAAAAAAAAACCCAACTGAAAACAAAGCTTCTTTTTCAGATCTTTTTGTGTCTTCCCCCTAACTTTTAAAACTACAAGATGCAGGGTGGTCCCTCACAGCTATCTAAGCTGAACAAACAGCACCTGCATGAGTAAGGTCAAAGCACATTATACTCACCAGGTCTATATTTTCAAGAATTCATCTCATTAGCTACTTACCGGTTCTTTTCTAGTTCATTGTGCGTAGACCTGGAAAAAAAAAAAATTTGGATTAGCCACCTTTGACCTCTGGGCACCAAAATTCAACGGCTGCAAGCTGTACACATCCCCACTGGCACATCACACTGCAAATCCAACCAACTACATACAGTAAAATCTATAGTCTCATCCTCCTTGCTGACAAGATGTTCCTTCCCTCCAGTGCAAATGCTGGCACCCTTACTGCTAAAGAAAATGTTCTCTAGAGACTTAAATGCACACAAAATCCCAAAGAGAGGCAATGATTAGAACAAGGGACCATAGTCTGTCACTTCCAGACTCCCGGCACTGCCACCAACTCAGTACAGGACTGAAGTTGTTTCTTTGTGCTTTACTTTCTTCATTCATGCTATAAAAATATTGGTATCATCTTCTAATGCAGGAGCTCACAGAGAATTAATCTGTGCATCAAATACATGGGAACCTTCCTTCCAGCAGAACTGGCCCTGTAGGGACAGCCCCTGGAGCACTTCAGCCGCCACATGCCAGATTTAGCCAATTCAGCTGAAGCAGACATGGCCAGCATTTGGGCACAAAATGCGATAGCCAGTGCTGCTGTGTTTTCAAACATCACTGGCACTGCGTAGCACATTTAGAATGCCTGGAAACCCCTTGGGGATGGGAACAGCACTCCCACAACACCAGCATGCAGTGAAGTGACCCATAAAGTGACACTGTGACACTCGACAAAGGAGGGGGCTTTGTCTTTATACCTGCCCACCAAACCAAGAACACTGACAGTATTCCTTAATTTAGAGCCCTGTAGCTTGAAAATGAAACCAACTAGAAACAAAAGGGAAACAGGCAAGTTCATTCTCTTTGCCTCTGTGATGATAGAATGAGTGGCAAAAAAAGTCTAAATCCATTCAGGATTTCTAATCTAACCCAGGTAAGGTTGTTGAGGATTACTTAAAAGGATAGCCATTTGTCCAACCTTTCTCTTTAACAGAAGGTCACCTTAAAATAAGAGTAAAAAGAACCCAAGAGCTTAATAAAAAGGATCTATTTTCTCTAATTTGGCATCACATTTCTTCCGGAGCTCTGAGAAGATTATCCTCTATCCCCCATCTGGAGAATCCCACAGAGAATTCTACAATTAGGGGAACTGAATGGAGGATGTGCTTCAAGGGAAACCCTGTCATAATTAAATGCTTCTCCAAAAAAAGGAAGGAGGAGTGCCTAACAGGTGTTAGAACTGCATTGAAAACTATGAATAAACTGTAGATGTCTGCAAAAAAACAAGGTAAATGAGCCTTAGCTGACCATGGCTGAGAGCAGAGGAAAAACAAACTGTTAGCATATACCTGTGAAAGCCACCCTGCTCAGCAGGACATGGAATACCCTAAAAGCAATGCACACTATAGTCAAACTCTTCATGTTGAGAAAACTCCTGAATTCCCCCCCTAAAGTAGTGAATTCTAGTTCCCAGGAATCAGAAATATAATATTTAGTCCATTATGTTTATCATAACATAATATTTAGTCCAGAAATTTTCCCAAATCAAACCCACACCCCATCCCTGACCTCCCTGAGTCTAACCCAGCAAACTCCATTTGTCCAGGCAACTTGGACCCAAATGAGCCCATTAGGACTGAGCTGAGACACTTCAGAACCACTGCCTGTATGTAGTTTGAAACATGCTTATTGTTCTTTTTTACTGTATGTTCCTGCAGGAGACTGCACTCTTCTTGGCTGTGACATTAGCAGTTATAAGGCCAAAGATATGCAATGGCTTGAATTCCTATATTATATCGAGCCAATTACCAAGGCCAGCACTGAAAGAACAAAGTTTGGCCCACTGCTGTGAACAAAATTAAAACAGCAGGTTCTCCTTACTCCTCTCACACAGGAGACTCTTTATTACCTATCTGCCTTCTGATGAACAAGGCAACTGAGAGAGGTCACAGGCTTTTCACCAAGTCACGAAATATTCGCTGTGACTTTTAACCACGTCTGTGGCAAGGAAAAAAACGCAACCCCCAACACCTTCCCACTGAAGCTGAATGCAAACGAAAGAATCTCAGCAGTATTGAATAAGTCCTACAGGGAGGCTCCTTCTCTGACCTGCCTATGTTTTGCTTAATCTCACTGGGGACCATCTGGAAAAGTTTTAATTTTTTTATTTCACCTGAATTCAGGAAAAAAGTCCAGCACTGCTCCTCACTATCACCATTCCCTAACTTAAATTTTCTGTGACAGTTTCCTTGGACAACACGTAAAGGGGAAAAAACCCTCTCTCTTCTGTTCATTACTCATTTAGTTTTCTATAGCTCCTAATCTAAAGATTAGTTATTACCCCTCATCTTTGGGCTGCACGTGTTACTAAGATTTATTTGGAGTTAAACAAGGACAGGGCTGTCAGTGAAGTGGAAAAAAGAGGAGGAGCCTCTACTGATAACAACTCAGAAAAAGAAGTGCCTTAAATAGGTAAATAGGTAAACAGAAGCAAATGTAACTGGATCTCTAAGTGAGCTAGTCTTATCATCAACTGAGAACTTAGAGACTATCAGCAGACTGAAATCAAGGCCTCATCCTGGTGCACCATCACCAGCTTTTTGATGGGTACAGGATGAACATCACAGCTGAAAACTGTTGCCAAAACCTGGGGAACACTCTGGTTGTACAGCAGCAAGTAACCAGTGTGCTCAGTGTGACACGACACTGCTGTGCTGCTGCTGACAGCAGCCACAGCCTGTGTCACCCCCTGAAACAAGGACACTGCTGTTGAGCATGGACCAAAACCAGGGGAATTCACACCCCTGCTGTCAGGTGGACAGGGCAAGCAGAACCTGCAAAGCTGAAACCAGAGCCAGGCGGGTATGGACACATTCAGAGGGGAAAACAAAAGACCAAGCACATGTACTGGCACTGCTCAAAACGTCAGCTGCAATTTAAAAGTAGCTCCAGCACAAACCATCTGCAGGGTCCTCATTTAAAAGTCAGGTTTCTATAGCAGTCATTCTTTAACAGTCAATTTAAAACACCCAAACTGATAACTACTCCTAAAAACCAAAGAAATGTTATTAAGCAGGATGATCCTGCTCACTACATTTTGAAAACAGCTTGGAAAAAGATCAAGAATGAGTTTCAGAAGCTTAAGATAAAGGAGCCAAGCAAACAACAACAAAAATAGCTGAGCAGTCCCTGTCTATGTAACAAAAAGTTGCAAGGGGACAAACTCAAGTTATCCCAATTTACTCCAGATACCTGAAACTGCATACAGAATAGGAAGAAAGAGAGAAGCAGAAATGGTCAGTCATTCTAATTTAAGGTTAAATGTAACAACCTTTTTGTGCCCATTACAGTGATATTGCCTGCAACCTCACTCTCCAACACAGTAACAAGGTGTTGCTGAAGCATTAAGCTACAGTAAAGTCCCCCAGTAAATGAGAATCTGCAAGTAATTTGCTACTTTAACCCATTTTTCTTTATTTAAATAAAATTTCTTCTACCATGGCAGAAGCAGCCCAACTTTGCCCAAGCACAAGTAAGGCAACACAATTAACTGCAGCAGAAAGGAACAAGCTCTAAAGAGCATTGAATTCATTTGTCATTGGGGTTTTTACTGTAACTAAAATCACAAAGCTGCCACATGACATTAAACACAGCTGACCTTTCTGGTTTACACATTTATTATTGATAAATGGGCTGATACATGCATTGGCAGAACATCTGCATTTTGGTTTGGGTTCTCAGTGAGGTAACTATTTTCTACTGAGGAAAACACAGTCCTCAAGAGCCCTTGTCCTACACAATACACAGGTGGAATTTAGACCCAATGATCCTGTCATCTGTCTTGGACCTGGTCATCTTCCTGCCTGTATTTGGCATCAGCTCCTGGCTCCAGAGGAGTCCAGGACTCCAAGAGCTCCATCTGCACCCCATCAGATATACTGCTGTCTCAGAGGGGGCTGCTGGCCATAAGTAAGGAGCTTCTACCAATACATCCTTAATGCCTACACAAGACCCAGTGCTTGTCCTCCAAATTCACTCACCCCACTCAGCTTTATCAAGAGTTTAATAATGAAAGAAATATCCCACCAGCTTGTGAAAATTAGGGTACAGTTAACAGAATCGTGTTTAGCAAAGCAAGAACATTCATCTGCAGACCAGGCCCACTGCTTTCTGTCTCACTTCACTCAGGTTCAGCTAACTTCTCCTGCTTATACATCATCACACCATATACAAACTCATTCTTCTTCATTTTACAGACCCTTTCCACCTTCTGGCTCTGCTGACAGACATTCACTGGGCCACTAAATTCCCCTGCAGGAAATGCCTTCTTCCGTTCCCCAAGCCAAGAATAACCAATCCTTCTGAAGCCAGTGAACGACACTACTGCTCTCTTTTATGCAAGTTCTTCCTGAAAAATGACAAAATAAAATAATGGAAAAGAAGGGTGATCAACAGCTTTTTTACATTTTAAATCCATCTGTGTCCACAAAACAAAACTTACTGGCTGAAGCACCCCAGTGTTTTGCCAGGGTTCCAAGTGGATCAACACCACAGTAACCTATGAAGTCAGAGCAGAAGCCAGCCTGGGAAACCCACGAAGAACCTTCAGCACCAGCAGCATGCCAGGCTTCCAGCCCAAAGGCAAGACAAATGAAGGCTGCACAAGAGTTAACTCTTCCTGCCCAGATATACTCAAGAGCTTTTTCTAAGGGAGTTGTGAATCCTCCTCACCTCTGGGAGACCCACAAGTTTGGCCCTCAGAGAGCTGCAGGGGAGCCTTGGGAACATAGCAACTTATTGCACTCAACACTGCCATGAGCTCCGACAGTGAGGAGGTGCAAAATGCAGCTGAACAGAAGATTGCACAGCTGGAGCAGGAGTCCTTCTGCTGCCATCCTTATGCCCTTTGCAAGTAGCAGCCTCAAGTCTAACAAGAACCTCACCTCAGTCTTGCATATCAGCAAATCTAACAAAATGTTTCCTTACAAACAGTACCAGAGACAAGAATTATCTTAAGCCATTACTACCTCATAATC